TACTTTTTAACTTGTTGATATATTTTTCAATGACAGGCATCGCGGATTTTTAAATAAATTTAATGTTCCTAGTGTTGTTTTATGATATTTTTGTTACGAACTTCCTTTTCAAAAATCTTGTTTTTAAAACTTTTTTTATTTTACTTTTTTAGCACTTCTTTGCCAGAAATCTTGGATTTTTGGAATCTATATATATAAATGTAAGTTGTGTTAGTTACTACGCTTATAACTTGAGAACCGCTGGATTAATTTTAACGATTCACACAAATTCGGAGTTGTCTACTCTCCGAAAAGGATAATATCCAAAAAAATCGCGTAAAAATGTGATATATTAACATTTTCATTTTGACTTTTCAAATGTACAATAGTAATGTTTTATTTTGCATGATTTTTTTTCCATTTTGACTTACTTTTTTCTAATGTACATTTGTAGTGTTTTTTTATATTTTATTTTTGAATTCGAATATTTATACCAATTTATTTAATTGACTTGATTTCTTGAGAACTGAAATTGATGGCGGGTTACATGGAAGTGTAGTAGCGAATTATGTGGTGGCGAAACGGAATAGATGATATCGAAATAATTTAACGCGGTCACACCAAAGTTAAAAGATAATTACTTTTTCTAAATCGCTGAAAAATCATGAAAAAGAGATCTCATTGCAAAAATCAAAAAAACATTTTCAATGGAATCGAATTTTAAAGTAATAGTACATTCTATTGACAAACTAAAACTTTTGCTGTAAAAAATCAGCGAAAAAGTTGAAGACTTTTTCAATTTGTTATTCTTTTTTTTGTCAATTTTTTTTTTCAATTTGTATTATCATATTGAATTCAGTGGATTTTTTGTGAACAAAATAAACAATAATTTTTCACTAAAAAATTAAATAAGTGCGAAATAGGATGTTAACTGACATCTACCTTTCAACTCCAGGGCCTACATCGTGGGTTAGCTGGAAGATGCGAACACATTTAAACAAACAAAGCGTTTCATTTCAAAGCGTGACAATGATCCGTCCAATGAGAGCTCAAAATGCAAAATTCTTTGGGAGAATAATAAGTAATATACCAATATTGAAATAAAAGGTGCAAAATAGTAGAGCGAATGGGACTTTTAGTAAGAAAAGTTTTTATATCCTTCCAGAAATTCTTCCCAAACATTCAAAATACCTAAAATCACTTTTGCAGGTCTTTATATCGATCATAACTCACGGATAAGGGAACAACCCGATTTCATTTTTATATAACCATCTATGATTTAAGTTATTTTTGGGGTCTTGGCCGGCCACTTTTTTTCATTTTTTGGCCCTTATTTGACATTTTTGTTTCTAAGGGGGTAGATAACCTCTTCGCATAAAATTTGAAATTTTCAGAGTAGGGCCCATTTTGGTCTTGACCACATTCATTAATTGACTTGGCTAAAGGTTGTATTTATGCTACTCTGGGGCAGGGAACCATCATACAGATAATTGCCACATAGGAATTTATTTAAGTAAAGTCCCCACATTGGCGTATTCCCAAGTCCACTTTCACATCTAATTGGTGGTCAGAAAAAAAATGTTGTTTTCTATTGAATTTGTAACCCCCAAGAGAATATTGGTTGGGCCACGTTTTGGTATAACCCTTATATAAATGTATCCCTGACCTGACAGCTGTGACCGTGGTCTTGGCCACGTTTTTCAACTGATTTGGCCATTATTTGCTGTATTTAGGCTACTTTGTGAGTAGAGAACCATCTTACAGAAAAAGTGTCAACATACGTAAATATTTTGGTACAGTCACCATATAGTCCCCAGGCCCGCCGATCTATAGTGATGTTTACCGATTGGCGGATAACAACGCGGGTATTGTTTAATCGTTATTGAATTTTACCATGAACAAGAACATAGACTTTTTGGGGACTCTAATGCGCAATTTGAGGTGCTATGGTAATGGGTGTAAAAGCGTAATTAACTTTGACTATTCAGAAATTATTTTGCCCTCCTTCCATAGTTATTTATTTCTATTTAGTCGATCAATATTTATATTAAAATTTGTTCACCTTTATGAGCTAGATTTGTGAAATATTATGCTATGCAAAATTTGCATTAAAGACTAAAACTACGGGCCGGCAACGCGGACCGGGCCAGCTAGTATAACATATATAACATATAAATATTAAATGATTATAAATATCGTGGATTTTTTAAATATGAAATGACCATAAATAATATTTTTTAAAAATAGTTTTCAGTTTTTTCAAGCCTAGCTTTTCCCGGTCAAAATTTTAGGTTCTTCAAAAATATCGTTCAAGACTACCCCATAATTTGTTTTAATACTTTTTGAAGACTTCCCCTCGGATTTATTTAAAGTAGTTTAGGAGTACTTTCTGAGTTTTTTCCAAGAATCGTGGAATTTTGCAAGGACTTTTTGGCCAAGAATTGTGGATCTTTATAATATTAGTTTTCAAGGACTTCCTGTGCAAAACCAGTGGATTATAAAACATAGCTACAAGGGTTTTATTAAATATTTTACGAAGACTTTTTGGTCGAGAAATCGTGTTTTGAACAATAAAAAAACTTGAACTTTTTTGAAGGTTAAATTTTTCAAAGGTATTGTTTAAGGACTTCCTGGTCAAAAGCTGTGAAATTTTTAAAAAGTTTTCAAGGTGTTTCTTTTAGATTTTTCAAAAATAATGGCCAAAACATGTGATTCAAAAGAAAAGAGGACATATAAATATTGATTTTTAGATAGAATGTCAAACCTGGTTTTTTATATTTATATAATAATATATTCCTTCAGAACCAACTCTATATAGTGTCAAGAGTTTGAATAATCACAACAGAAGTCAAAATGTATTTAAATAATTGAACATTGGCTGAAAGTATACGTCTGTCGGCAAAACCGACTGAAACTTTTTAACTTGTTTAACTACTTTTTAATGACTTCCTCTCGGATTTCTATTAAGAAGTTTTCAAGGACTTCCTCGAGTTTTTATTTTTTTAAGAATCGTTGATTATTTTTTTTAAATCGTAAATTTTTTTTTAAAAAATGTTCAAGGTCTTTCTGGCTAACAATTGTTGCCCTTTATAAAATTAGTTTTCGAGGACCTCCCGTACAATACTTGCGGATTATAAAACATAGCTACAAGGATTTTATCGTGGATTATTTTAAAAATATTTTACGAAATATTTTTGTATGGAGAAATCGTGTTTTGAACAATAAACAAACCGTGAACTTTGTTAAAAGACTTCCGCGTTAAGAATGGTAAACTGTGAAATTTTTAAATAGTTTTCAAAGACCTCATTGTAGATTTTTCTAAAATAACTTTGAGAACGTCCTAGCCAAAACTTGTGGTTCAAAAAAAAAAGAGCACATATAAATCTTGATTTTTAGATATATTTGAGGTATAAAGGATTAAAAAAGCATGATTTTTTTATTTTTATTGATGTGCTCCTAAACGTTTTTACAACGTCTTCGGATTTTTCTTTTATGATATCAAAAAAATGCAAAACTAGTAGATTCTTATAGGTTCTGGAACGGAGCATTTATTTATTTTTTTTTTAATATATAGAATATTTTAAAGCCTATTTCTCAAAGTTCTTGGATCTTATTTAAGGTATCGCGAATTTTTACAAAAATATTTTTAAATACCGTGAATTATATTTACGAAATGTTGATTTCTAAGAACAGTTTTCTAAAATATCAAATTATTAAAGAACAATTTTTGAATGAGGTCCTTAATTCAGGATTTTTATACCCTACACCACAAGGGTACTATGTCTTTGTGCATTTGTTTGTAACAGGCAAAAGGAAACGAGATAGACCCATAGTTCCTTTTGATGATCTGCATAAAATCACATTCTGAGTCGATTTATGCATGTCCGTTCGTCCGTCTGTCCATGTATTTTTGTGAACAAAGTACAGTTCGCATTTATTACCCGATCCAGATGAAATTTTGCACAAATCATTTGATTGGCCCAAGGACGAACCCTATTGAAATTGAACCCTATTGGAATCGGTAAAAATTTAGATATAGCTCCCATATATATCTTCGTCCGATTTGCCTTTTATTGTGCGCCAACGTGTAATATCAGCCCGAATAGTATGGAATTTTTTCACATACAACCAAATTAGGCCTGAAAATAAGTATGACAAATTTGATCGAAATCGGTTCAGATATAGCTATAGCTCCCATATATATTGTTCATCCGATTTGTTATTTTTGTCCTCCGCAGCCGTAATATGCACTCTGTAACAACAATATTTGGGCAAATATATCAAATACAGCTCAGAAATACATTTGCTAAATTTTATCGAGATCGGTTCGGATTTGGATATATCTCCCATATATAACTTCGTCCGATTTACGTTTTATTGTGCACCAAATGTCTAATATTTGGCGAAAGGTAATGAAATTTGGCACTTACGACCGAATTGAGTCTAGAAGCTAGTATGTCAAATTTGGTGAAGATCGGTTTAGATATAGCTATAGTTCTCACATATATTGTTCATCCGATTTGTTGTATTTGTTACCCACAGCCGTAATATGCGCTCCGTAACAACGACATTCAGGGAAATTTATGAAATACAGCTCAGAAATATCTTTGCCAAATTTTATCAAGATCTGTTCAGATTTGGATATAGCTCCCATATATATAAAATTAGCAATACAAGTCCGAATTTAAAAGATACAAATGCTTCGGCATTTTAGTCTTTTGAACTTTAAATAATAATTATTATAATAGCGTGCATGATTTAATTCTCCCATAAAAACTTTTAATTGTTATGTGGAGCTCTACTAAATTAGCAATGTGGTGTCGGCCGCCCGACTTTAAGACTTTCTTTTTTGGTCAAAAATCGTTCTTTAAAAGAAAATCGTTATTTTTCGAGGACTTTCTTTTTAAAAAGTCAGTCCTTTTAATGAATAAGACTTCCTAAATATATATCTGTCGATGAACTGATTGTTTAATTTAAATTTTTTCTCGTCAGGTTATACATCTCCAATAAAATTCCAAACCAACATTTTACTGATGTAAATCAGTAGTATTTATTGCAAAAAGATTTATATAAGTACAATAAAAAAAAAAAACAAAAAACAATAAAACAAAAAACAATATTAATTAATGTGGTAAATCAGTCATAGAGTCATTTTAATTTCCAATAGCGGCTACTTTTTCCGTTTCCTTTTTCACATAATCGGCATCGGCCAAATACTGAATATTGCCCACACGCTGGCCACTCGACAGATCATATTCGAAGACGCAGGGGACACTGTTGGGTATGTTGACTTTCATGATGTCGTCATCGGAGATATCTAAAACACAAAATTACAATAAATCGCTTAAAAATCATATTTGAAAAATGTTCGCTTACTTTCAATATATTTCATAAGGGCCCGCACCACAGTACCATGGGCCACAACTAAAACCCTTTGGCCGTCCAGAACTTTTGGCATTATCTCCTGCTCCCACAGTGGTATGGCCCGCAACATGAGCGTTTTCAACGATTCCGTATCGGGAAATTTATCCTTTGGTATATCTTTAAATTTCGGATTGTTACGTATCTTGGCATAGTAGGGATTATCGGGGGTTATCTCGGGTGGCAGGACATCGAATGATCGACGCCATATTTGTACCTGGGGAATATCAAGAAAATAATTAATTTACAAAAAAAACAGTAAGGAAAGGTCAAAAGTCGGACTGGGCCGACTATATGACACCCTACACCACTATGCGTATTTAGTAGAGCTCACGTAATAAACAAGTTTATATCGCGAATTTTGTACCTCTAGTACCGTATAATATAGCTGATATGACTTCGATAAGAATTATATTCAAAAATATTTATTGGAGCAATAGATATACCGGACCTAGTTTCACCAAATGAAAAACTTTGGTTGAACTTGAAAAAATCTAATCAATTTGGGCTGATATTACATACAGGGTGAACGGACAATAGCCGAAGGTATATAAAAATCAGAACCGATCTTGATAAAATTTGGCTGAAGTATTTTCGAACTGTATCTGATGTCCAGTATCAAATATACTTGTTCTGAAGGGCATATTACACATGTGAAGGACTTAAAATTCCGAATCGGATGAAACATATACAGGATGAGATGAAAAAACTACAACTAACTTCAGACTGCTGTCATTTCTAACGCACTCGTCCGACAGCTGTTAAAATTATTCCAGTAACAGCTCATTATATTGTTTATAAGCGTACAAAATCACTTTGGTGAGAATTTTCCAGAAAAAAGTTATTTGGGACGGAATTCTAGCGTGATAGTGTAATTTCCTCATATTTGGCTGGAAAACCACAAGGGGCGATCGCTACAGCACTCCAGCATTTAAATGTGAATAAATCTTTTGTGTCTCGTCTGGTAGCGTAGCCCGACGTCAAGGAAGTGGTCGATAGAAAACAGCAACATCAGCAGAATTGGTTTGAAATGTAAAGAAGCCACTTGATCGAAACCCGCGTCACCGAAGAATTTGGTTTTCTTCGATGAGAAAACATTCGTTGTCCAGCAATTTGTGGACAAACAAAATGATCGTGTTTTTTTGCCAAAGAGGTCAGCTAAAAATGTGCGCCTTCGGTTAGCCACCAGAACTCAAGCGCCGGCCATGGTCATGGTGTGGCCGCCATAACAGCCTATGGTGGCTTTTTGTTTGTATTGTTCGACCGTGGCATCAAAATAAATTCTGAATATTATCGAGAAAATATTCTGGAGGGTATATTAAAGCCTTGGGCACGCAAACATTTTTACCTTGGACATTCCAACAGGACTCAGCACCATCGCACTTAGCACGCGCCACCCAAGACTGGTTAAAAGATAAGGTGCCTCCCTTTATTTCCAGCGCACAATAGCCACCAAAATCTCCGGATATCAATCCGTTGGACTATTGTGTCTGGAGTATTTTGGGAAGCAAGGTCGGCACTAAAAAATACCATAGTGTTGATCATCTCAAGCAAGCGCTTCGCCGGGAATGTGACGGTTTCATTGGCCGTTTGAAGGCCATAATTTGTGCCAAAGGTGACCAATTCATACCGATCTAAACGTATTCGAAAATTTGATGCATTTCCGACATTTTTTGCTTTCGTTCAACAAAAAAATATGGCGTTTGACTTTGTTGCAGTTTTTTTTATCTTACCCTCTATAGCTCCCATATATCCAAATCTGATCTGATCTCAATAATATTTAACAGAGGTACTTCTGGGCTGTATCAGATATGTGGTACCAAATATTATTCTGGTGGTGTCCGTATTACGCATGTGAGAGACTTAAATGCCAAATTTGATGTACTTGCTTCTTGTCTGAATACGGGGATGTGCCAAAATTCAGGTCATTTGGACTGATGTTGGCCATTTGGTGCACAATTGACTGGAAATCGAATGAAGAAATATATGGGAGCTATATTTAAATTTGAACCGATTCTCACTGATTTCAATAGGGCTCATCCTTGGGTCAAACAAATATTGTTTGGAAAATTTTATCTCAATCGCTATTTAAATGCGATCGGCATTTATTCATAAAAATACATGTACAGACGAACGGACGGAAGGAATGACATGCATAAATCAACTCAGAAAGTGATTCTATGAAGATCCTCAAAAGCAACTATATCTCGCTCCCTTCGCCATGTTACAAAAAAAGTACACAAAGACATAACACCCTTACCCCTTTGTGGTGTAGGATATAATTAAAAGGCATTTTGTATTGAGTTCCACTTACTTTTTCCTCGCCATATTTGTTGGCCACCTGACGTTTATTGAACCCTGTCAAATTGCCATAGTGTCGTTCATTTAGACGCCAGTCATAGATCACTGGAACATCGTGGTATTTGAGGTTCTCTCTTATCACATCGACGGTTTGATGGGCCCGCTGCAGTAATGATGTGTAAATGACATCGAACTGCATCTGATGTTGGCGTAGACCAGCTACAGCTATTTTCGAGGCATCTTCGAGACCTAAAAGAGGAAGGGAGTTAAATTAAAATTAAGATATGGATTTATAAAATTCAGTCGGGTTAGGGGACTTGGTATCCCCCTTGGTGACCAGAAAGAGAATAAACAAGTAAAAAAGCTTAGGCCGGGCCGAACTTTGAATACCCTCCACCATTTGATACAAATTTCGCAATTTTCAAAAAAATAAAATCCGTTAAAAATTAAATTAAATTAAGGAAAATTAAAGAAAATTAAGGCATGGTTTTTTAAAATGCAGTCGGGTCAGGGGACTTGATATATCCTTTGGTGACCAAAAAGAGAATAAACAAGTAAAAACGCTGTAAGTTCCGGGCCGAATTTTGAATACCATCCACCATTTGATACAAATTTCGCAATTTTCAAATAAATAAAATCCGTTAAAAATTCTCTTAAAGTCTATACGACGACGTGGACCTGCATAGGCGAGTTTTGTCACAAGCTATATTCAAATGCGAAACTTGAAAAAAATCTCTTTATAATGTAGCTAAAATCATAAAAATACCGAATATAAGGAGGTACCATGGGGGTTATAAAATATGGATCTGTATAGACCATTTTCTGTCACAGGCTGTAGTATCCATTACGAACTTCAAATACCAAATTTGAAACACTTCCGGTAAATAATGTCGCTAAAATCATCAAAATACCGAATATTGGGGGTACCGTTATATGGGAGCTATACGAAGACGTGGACCTACATGGTCCATTTTCTGTTTCTTGCTGTAGTATCTATTACGAACTTAAAATACCAAATTTTGAACAATTCCGGTATATAATGTCGCTTAAATCATCAAAATACCGAATATCGGGAGGTACCGTTATATGGGAGCGATACGAAGACGTGGACCTACATGGCTCATTTTCTGTCTTAGGATGTAGTATCCATTACGAAGTTCGAATACCAAATTTGAAACAATTCCGCTAAATAATATCGCTAAAATCATCTAAATACCGAATATCGGGGGGTACCGTTATATGGGGGCTATACGAAGACGTGGACCTACATGTTTTCTACACATTTTCTGTTTTATGCTGTAGTATCTATTACGAACTTTAAATACCAAATTTTGAACAATACCGGTAAATAATGTCGCTAAAATCATCTAAATACCAAATATCGGGCGGTACCGTTATATGGGGGCTATACGAAGACTTGGACCTGCACAGACAATTTTTTGTCATAGGCTGTAGTATTCATTACGAACTTTAAATACTAAATTTGAAATAGTTCCGGTAAATAACGTCTCTAAAATCATCAAAATACCGAATATAGGGAGGTACCGTTATATGCGGGCTATACGAAGACGTGGACCTACATGGCCCATTTTCTGTTTCATGCTGTAGTATCTATTACGAACTTCAAATACCAAATTTTGAACAATTCCGGTAAATAACTTCGCTAAAATCATCAAAATACCGAATATCGGGAGGTACCGTTATATGGGGGCTATACGAAGACGTGGACCTACATGGCCCATTTTCTGTTTCATGCTGTAGTATCTATTACGAACTTCAAATACCAAATTTTGAACAATTCCGGTAAATAATGTCGCTAAAATCATCAAAATACCGAATATCGGGAGGTACCTTTATATGGGAGCGATACGAAGACGTGGACCTTCATAGCCCATTTTCTGTTTCATGCTATAGTATCTATTACGAACTTCAAATACCAATTTTGAAACAATTCCGGAAAATAATGTCGCTAAAATCATCAAAATACCGAATATCGGGAGGTACCGTTATATGGGGGCTATACGAAGACTTGGACCTGCACAGACAAGTTTTTATCATAGGCTGTAGTATTCATTACGAACTTTAAATACTAAGTTTGAAATAGTTCCGGTAAATAATGTCTCTAAAATCATCTAAATTCCGAATATCGGGAGGTACCGTTATATGGGAGCTATACGAAGACGTGGACCTACATGGCCCATTTTCTGTTTTATGCTGTAGCATCTATTACGAACTTTAAATACTAAATTTGAAACAATTCCGGTAAATAATGTCGCTAAAATCATCAAAATACCGAATATCGGGAGGTACCGTTATATGGGGGCTATACGAAGACTTGGACCTGCACAGACAAGTTTTTATCATAGGCTGTAGTATTCATTACGAACTTTAAATACTAAGTTTGAAATAGTTCCGGTAAATAATGTCTCTAAAATCATCTAAATTCCGAATATCGGGAGGTACCGTTATATGGGAGCTATACGAAGACGTGGACCTACATGGCCCATTTTCAGTCTTAGGATGTAGTATTCATTACGAACTTTAAATACTAAATTTGAAATAGTTCCGGCAAATAATGTCTCTAAAATCATCAAAATACCGAATATCGGGAGGTACCGTTATATGGGGGCTATACGAAGACGTGGACCTACATGGCCCATTTTCAATACCAAAAATCCTGCAGACATAATACACATTTGATTGAAATTTTATGAACCTACTTCATTTCGTTCGAAAGCGAGAGTGATTTCCACAGACGGACAGACGAACGGACATTGCTAAATCGACATAGAATTTTATGCTGATCAAGAATATATATACTTTGTGGGGTCTAAAATGTATATTTCGAGGTGTTACAAACGGAATGACAAACTTAATATAGCCTCCATACTATGGTGGATGGTATAAAAAAACGCATGAGACTGAAGAAGAGAGTATTTGCATGTTAAGGTATGTGGGGAACCCTTGTATATTCTATTACTTTATAGGCCTTTTGGGTCAAATATCAATCCCTTCAGATTATTTGTGCGAATCAACGGTTCCTTGTATCTTTAAGTCTTGAATATAATCATAACTAATTTTTCCCTTTCACCCCTTCACCATGTTCTCTCTTACCTTTATCCGTCAGTGGAGCATCATGCCAGCCGCAGAATAGATTCAATTTGTTGAATTCACTTTCGCCATGGCGTAAAATCACCACTTTATTTGTTTTCATTGTTGTTGGCGTTGATGTTGCTGTTGCTTTTTGTAAAATTACTTGATTACACTTCCGATTGATGACTCGGACAATTGGTCAAGACAGATAAAACAAATGGATGTATTTTATTGTTGGAATTGTACTTTGGTTACTTTTGTTGGAGTTACAGATTTTTTTTGCTTCTTTTTTTTTTTTTTTGGTTTTGTTGTACTGACAGTTGTGGTAACCGTTTGAAAACTGAAAGACATCAACGAGAAAAGAACGTTAATTTCAAAAAAAAAATATGAAAGAAAAACAAAACGTTGAAAACAAAACAAAGCAGGCAAAGAAAATTTTCCAAGTGTGCATATGTGTGAAAATGGGAAAAAAAATAATTGAAAATTGCAAACAACACCAACAATGCATTTGTGCATATGTATGTCGATACGTGTGTTGATATCGACTGCAAACAAATAGATATTGTGTTCATATGTACGTATGTGTCTACATATATTGAAACTAATGACACCTAATGTTGTGATTTGTACGAGGAATGAGAGAAAAGTTAGTGGTGACGAATGGAAGGTAACAGTTTAATTTTTATACCCTCCACCATACCATGGTACAATAAAAAGGTAAGGTACAGCTACCAGCTGATTATTTTTTTTTTTCTAAATGTGCCCGACTTCTGCTAATTTTATGTATGTATTTATTGTTTTGAAAAATAAAAACAAAATATTTTCAAAATCATTTATTGGAAGAAACTTAAATTGCGGGGCGCGCATTTATGATATTAACCATTTTTGCAGCGGAATTGAAAGATTGAACACTAAGGATCATATTTTTGAGAGAACAACCAGTCATTTCATTTATCTTTCACGCTATCTGACTCATTTTAAAAATGAACAAAAATATCAAATAAATGAAAACAACTTGTTGGATATAATTATGAATAATTCTGACAGGAAGCGGGCTGTATTTCTGTAGTTTTACGAAGCTGTTCTACCTCCTTATTGTACCATGCACCATACTATGGAGGGTATATTCATTTTATCATTCCGTTTGTAACTCATCGAAATAATGATCTTTGACCCAACAAAGTATATATATTCTTGACCGGCGTAAAATTCGAAGACGATTTAGCCATGTCCGTCTGTCCGCCTGTCTGTCTGTCCGTCTGCCTGTCCGTCTGTCTGTTGTAATCACGCTATCTTTCGAAAGAATTGAGATAGAAGGCTAAAATTTTGCACACATGTTTATTTTTCCAGTAGGCAGGTTAAGTTCGTAAATGGGCCATGTAGGTTCACGTTTTCATGTAGCCTCCATATAACGGTACCTCCCGATATTCGGTATTTTGATAATTTTAGCGACATTATTCACCGGAATTGTTTCATATTTGGCATTTGAAGTTCGAAATGGATACTACAGTCTGAGACAGAAAATTGTCTGTGCAGGTCCACGTCTTCGTATAGCCCCCATATAACGGTACCTCCCGATATTCGGTATTTTGATGATTTTAGCGACATTATTCAACGGAATTGTTTCATATTTGGCATTTGAAGTTCGAAATGGATACTACAGCCTGATACAGAAAATTGTCTGTGCAAGTCCACGTCTTCGCATAGCCCCCATATGACGGTACCTCCCGATATTCGGTATTTTGATGATTTTAGTGACATTATTCAACGGAATTGTTTCATATTTGGCATTTGAAGTTCGAAATGGATACTACAGCCTGAGACAGAAAATTGTCTGAGCAAGTCCACGTCTTCGTATAGTCCCCATATAACGGTACCTCCCAATATTCGGTATTTTGATGATTTTAGCGTCATTATTCACCGTAGAAGTTTCAAATTACGCATTTAGAGTTTGTAATGGAAACTACAGTCTGTGACAGAAAATTGCCTATGCAGGTCCAGGTCTTCGTATAGGTCCCATATATCAGTACCTCCTTATATTCGGTATTTTGACGATTTTAGGTACAATACTCACCGAATTTATTTGAGATGTCGTATTTGAAGTTCGTAATGGAAGCTACAGTCTGTGACAGAAAATTTTCTACACAGGTCCAGGTCTTGGTATAGCTCCTATATAACGGTACCTCCCTATGTACGGTATTTTGATGATTTTGGCTATATTTATCACCGTTTATATCAGGTTTCGAATTTGAATATGGTAATGGCTTGTGACAAACAATGCCTATGTAGGTGCACGTCGTACAGACCCTAAAATAACGGCTCTATTCGGTTTTCTTTAAATTTTTGGCGAATGTTATCTTTTTCGAAAATTTTCAAATTCGTTCTAAATGGTGGAGGGTATTCGAAGTTCGGCCCGGCCGAACTTACTGCTTTCTTACTTTTTTTTATTTTTTTGGACAGATACAATCTTAAGCTACCTTTCCATTAGAGTTTCATAAAAGTACGCGCAGTAGTTTATGAAAATATCAATCTTTATATCCTACAACACTATGTGTTGGGGGTATTATAAGTTTGAATGGGCCAAAAATTATGTAACACCTCAAAATATTGGTTTCCCACATAGGAAAGTTATATATGGATCTCGGCAATATTTAGCGGTTAAAATAGACCCTAACTTTTGTGTAAGAAAATACGAAAATTTCCACTAAACCGTGAATATTTTTAATCCCAGCCCAGTCGCAAATACATTAAAAGGTCGCTTCTGATCATTACAGTGGAGCTGATAGCCAAGATGTCGGATATATAGCAAAATATGCACAATATATGTGTAAGAGAAATATATCTTAGTTATTCTGCTTATATCAATCAATCATCAATTCGGAATAGTCTCTCGCTAGAAAAGTATAAAATCTAAGAAAATCGCGTAAAAATATGTCAATATAAAGTCAATATTTTTTTGTTACATTTTTCCAATTTTTGTCACATTTTTTATCGCATGCGATTCTTTTAATTTGACTTAAGGGCTAAGTACATAAGAAGCTTGAAGTCATGGCGCGGCCTATTTTGTGACATTTCACAAAGGAATTACAGAGCCGCACTAAAATCCTGCCGTCGTTTTTCATTATAATTTGGCATTAATATGCCTAGCCACGACTTCAAGTTTTTTATGTATTTGCAGCCTTACAATTTTGAATTGAAAATTTTCTAAATTTTTACACCCCATGGTACAATAAAAAGGTAAGGTAGAGCTACCAGATGATTACAATTTTTTTCTAAGTGTGCCCGTACATCCTAATTGAATTGGAAACATCCTTAACGGCCAGATGAGAAAATGATGATAATGGATTCACTCCTTTTGGTAACTCCCCCATTAATGATTTCAGATTTCAAAATCGTATTAGTTATTCAAAACTTTGACCCTTTGTGGGAGAGGTACCAGAAGGAATGGTCCGACCTCTTCCATCTTCATAACATATCTTGTGTTGATAGAAATATTCAGATGTGTCAAGTCTGAATGGAATCGGATGTTAATTCGGGTTTTATGTACCTCATGGATATTCTAAATGTTGACCCTTTTTGGGGAAGGTACCAGAAGGAGTGGACCGATATACTCCATCTTCACACCAAACCATGGGATAATAAAAATATTGTGATGTGTGTAATTTGAATCGGACTCTTACATAACATTTTCTATGAGTTATAATTACTCAAAATTTTGACCCTTTGTGGGGGAGGTATTTGATCGACCGATGTTGTCCATTTCGCGCAAATATTAGGATTTGCAAAGTTGGATCAAAATCGGATTATCTTTTCTCTTTCTGTGCAGTCAAATATTTTTTTGATAAATTTGAATTTTGACGTTTTTTTTGGTTAGGTACCAGAAGGAGTGGGCCGATATTGCCCATCTCCGAACTCGATCCAAGTTTGACAATAATAGTACGATGTATCAAGTTTGCACAAAATCGGATACTCCCTTCGAGAGTTATCGTGCGCACCAATCACCAGATAGACGGACGGATGGACATCGCTAGATCGACTCCAAGTGTCCTGAAATGGATTTGGTCTAAAGAGACCTAAGGTTTGAAACCGTTATTTCGACAAGGCACGTTTTGATCTAGCCATACGGCTGAGGGTATAAAAATTGAAACAAAGCTGCAAGGCAGATAGAATTTGGATTGCAAACATGTTTAATTCAAAATTATGACACGACTTGGCATTCTTTTAATTTCCAAACAATGGAACTTCCATTTCAAACCTCATACACGCAGTGACCTCTTGGCTGTGAAAACATTTCTTTTGTTTTTTGCATTTTTCTTCTATCAGTCGATTGAGATAAAATCTACAAATCATTGGCCACAAGAGTGGTACACAGAAGCGACGGGAGAATATATGGAAGTGTGTTTAGAAAAATAAACAGATTGCAATTTAGCTAGCTATCTGTATACCGAGTTGTGGTGCAAAGTCGTGATGCGACAACAACTTGCTCGTCAAACATTCTGATGGGGTTGAAGAATTGCAGTTGCAGCATTGAGATATGCTGCATTTCTTTACGCGTACTCTTCATCACTCACACATTCGCCTCCTCTTTTGCTTCAATGCCATGAGAACTTTTTCTGCTTCGTAGCTAACACTTGTTGTAATGACAGGTTGGTTGGTTGTTCGTAGGTACATACATATGTGTCTAGATATCTATCTGTCTGCCTGCGAATCTGTCTTTTTGCATTGTAATGTGGCGATGTACATTATTGTTGTTGTGGGGGTTCTAGCTACTCTCTTTCACTTTTCTTTTGTTTTCTGCTTCAATTGAAATATTCTGCAACAGAATGCAATAAAATGTTTTTTGTTTTTACTTCTAGTTACTTTTACTTCTAGCTACGTGCCATGCCACCACTGCTGTGATTCTGCTTCCCGTAGACATTATGGTGGCAGCATGAGCATCTTTTTGTTTTCCAGAATGCATTTCCCTGCGATGCATTGTCGTGAAGCAGGATGTATATGGGTTTCATATACAGGTAAACCCGAATACCGTATGGGGTCTACCGGGTAAAATCATATGAAATAGTCTGTTAGTTCGAAAAGTGTAACGTTTTTGGTATATTAACTTTGTCATTCCGTTTGTAGCATCCATAAACATTCGCCGTAGACCCCATAAAGTATATATATTCATGATCCGTATAAAATTCTAAGTCTGTCTGTTAATATCACGATACAGCCCTCATTATTTGACGTAGAGCTTCAAAATTTGGCAGAACAATTTCTATTATGTCTAGGATGGTTGGTATTGAAAAGGAGATATACCGGTGCACGTTTTGGTACAGCCGCCATATAACGATGTCTCCT